GTGCTCTTGGTTTTATAACTTTATATTTAATATACTTCTATGTAATAAATATGAAACAATAGAAATTGACTCAATATACAATACTAATAGTATAGAATAAAAATTATATGCTTTAATAGATGTAGTTAATAAAACAGAATTTTTATTAAGTTATCTTTTAATTAAATTAGAAAAAATAAAGATATTACTAAAGTACTTGTTAATTGGATAAACAATTTAAAAATTAGATAATTAATTAGTTTTCTATTTGTTCTTATTAATAAAATATTTTTTAAAATAAATGCTGTACAATCAGTATAACCAGAATCTCATTTGCCATTATGTGTATAACATGTATAATATGCTATAAAGCAAAGACTAAGTTCATTAAAAAATATCTAAAATTACAATTATAATTCTATTATAGCAAATCAAAAGTGTTCAGAAATTGATCCAAATTGAGAGTCTTAAACTAAAAATTTAAATATAATTTGTTCTTTGGAATTTTGAAATGATATAATTAATCTTGTTGATTAACATTATAACTGTTGCATATTACTACCAAAACCTAATAAAGAATTTATAACAAATTTGAAAACAATTTGAGAAAAATTAGTTTCAGAGATTTATAAATACTGTCAAGATTATAATTTATTTAAACTTTGACTTTATTTATGATCAAAGTGGTATTCTTATAAAAAATAAACTTTGTAATCAAGAGTTGTGAATGATAGAATTAATCATATTAAGATGATTATGATTATTGAATCACATTGGTAACATGTTAAACATGAATACTTATATAAGTTTTACTAACTATGCATTGACTATTTATGCTATATTCTTATTTGTAAGATTATTAATCAACAACTTTACCAAATTTGCTTTTTGTAACAAAATCATTATACAGTTTCATAGACAAAAAAAAATGACTAATACATAAAAAAAAAAAGTAACTTTCCTAATTAATATAAAACAAACACAAATAATTGAACTTGTACTTGTTATTTATATCTTTCTAGTCCGTTTTTTTTATGCAAACATCTTATAGTTAGAGTTGACCAAGTATATCATAATTTCTTTAAAAAAGTATCCAAAAATATGAATATTTGATAATTTGCTTTTTTATTATTTTATTACTTATTTTATTTTATTTTATTTTTACAATTACAAGTGCAATAGAATGACAACTATCTGATTATTAGAATATATAATAGTAAAATTCCAAATGTTTTTAACTTTCAAGACACTCATATAAATATCAAAAACATTCCAATAAATTACAATTCAATTGAAGACTATGAAAATGACTTCGTACTTAGCAATGATGATGATAAAGAAATCACCTATGCAATGTGCTTGAAGAGGTAGTGACATTGTATTTTTTTAAATTGTCAACATTAATTTATTTATTTTTGTATTATTATTTGTTAGAGTAAAAAAATTCTAAACATTTCACGAAATAAACCCAATCGAAATATCTGGCTAAAATCAGTCCGTTCAAATTTTAAAGCTTTAGAAAATATGGTTGAAGACATCAAAAAACTTGAAAATCACAAAACAACACCTCGTACTTGGACAGATTTAAATCACAATACGATGTACTGGTTCTCATAATTCACCTTTTAATTATTTTTTTATGTATGTGCACATAGTATTCAATAGATGAAAATGTTTAATTAAAAAATTATTATCGCTAAATGGTTATGCTTAATAAAGAAATAAATTATCGGAATTTAAAATTTTGTATATCGATGATGACATCGCTACATTTTTTTATGGGCGATACTAGGACGGCTGACATGGGACACCGTCCGGGACTTTCCGTGTCCGCGCAATTTTGAATTCTAAATATAGAATTCTTTACACAAAGAAATGTAAGCTTTTAATCGATCCAATCAAAATGATCAAAATGATTTTAATCATGTGTTATAATCAAAGAATCCTATATCGATATTCGGAATTGCAAGTTTTCATCTGGCAGTATCAACATTCATGATATAAGTCGATCGAACGCATCACTAGACTTTGAATGATTTCGTCAAACCGGTTTATCTTATTACGATCTCTTAATAAAAATTTTCCCATTAAAGGGAATTTTTTAAAAAATTTTTATTATCCCAATCGAAAATTTTCAAATTCAAGCATGTCTTTTAAAATTGCGTGTATTCAATTAGCTGTTTCATCTGATAAATCTAAGAATCTTACAAATGCTAAAAATAAAATTCTGGAAGCTTCGAAAAACGGTGCAAAGATAATCTGCTTACCAGTAATTTTTTTTCCTTCCAATCTTGAGTAAATTGATAATAATAAAAAAAATATGAAAATTTAATGAATTATTTTATAGGAATGTTTTAATTCACTATATGGTACTAATTATTTTTCTCAATATGCCGAAAATATTCCTAATGGTGAGAGTGTGAGAACCCTTTCTGAAGCTGCTAAGGCAAGCAACTAATATTAATTGCTTTATATATTATTATATATATATTTATGTTTATATTTAATCTTATTAATATATGACTCATTTGGTCTTTTTGTTTAGGAATCTAAGGCTTACATTATTGGAGGTATAAATTATGAGAAAGAATAAACAATTTGAACATAATTAACCAAAACTTTCTGTATTTTTTTTTTCTCAAGGATCCATTCCAGAACGTGAAGATTCTACTGGCAAACTATATAATACTTGCACTGTTTATAATCCGGAAGGTAACTTAAAGTTTTTATATTACCTAAGTGTATATCATTCATTATAAAGATTTAATGTTTCTCTTTTTATTTTTAATTCTAGGATCTATGATCGCAAAGCATCGAAAAGTTCATTTATTCGATATTGACATTCCTGGAAAAATTACATTCAAAGAGAGTGATTCTCTAAGTGCTGGGAATTCTCTAACACATTTTGATACTAGTATTCTTTCTTGCTTTAAATTAATAATTCGATTTTAATATTTTTTTTTCGAACAATTTGTTTAAAATGGTTTTATTTTTTTTTTGTATTAGAATTTGGTAAGATCGGAGTGGGAATATGCTACGACATAAGGTTCCCAGAAATGGCCATGATTGCTGCTCAAGAAGGTTAAATGAATTATTAATATATTTATTTTTCTTAAAGACTAAATGTAACATTCATTCGTATTGCATAATTATTTTATAGGATGTATTGTAATGTTTTATCCGGGAGCTTTTAACATGACTACAGGTCCTTTACATTGGGAACGTAAGTTGTCTTTTAAAATTACTTTAAAGTCATTTGTTAAAGCAATCTTTTATTGGCGTTAATCTTAATATTATTTTAAAAAATGACTAGTTTTACAAAGGGCAAGGGCTCTTGATAACCAAGTAAAAACAATTCTAATTTTAGTTCATTGGCTGAAACGCATAAACAGTAATTTTCAATAATTTTTAATCATTCAAGTTTTACGTGGCAACCTGTTCTCCCGCCCGTGATATGAGTGCAACCTATAATGCATGGGGTCATTCAACTGTTGTGAACCCCAGGTAAATCTTATTTCCTACATGTGCTCAAATATGTATATGTTTTACCTAAATTACTTACTATATTTCCTTAATTAAAAATATATATATATTCACAGCGGCGCTGTGATTGCAACTACCGATCATGAAGAATCTATTATTTACGCAGATATTGGTAACAAATTTCACTTGTGATGGAAAGGATATTCATTCATTATTTTAACAAATTATTATTAAATTATTTTTTTAAAGATTTAGATGAGATGAAATCAATTCGTCAATCTATTCCGACAACTTTACAAAAACGATATGACCTTTACACTAAAATTACTTCGATTACATCAAATTCTAATTGATTGGTGCTTTATGAATTCTATTTATACTTGTTTAATAATCTGAATTTCAAAAAAAAAAACCATTATGAAAGTGTTAATAATAGAGCGTATATATTTAATGATTCATATAATTGAATTTTTACTGACTATTCTCTGTGTGGATGTAACCAAATACTATTACAGGGCAATAATTTATCCATTGGACAATATTTTATCCATGATGTGTCAATGCTAATTCGTAATTCGTGTAGATATTTTACTATTTGTAACAAATTTCAATACGTAAATCAATCAAGAAAATTACTAATACATACTAAAAAAATGCCATACGTATTGTCTCTGTATTGATATAATTGGAAAAGAGGATTAACATTAAATTCGATTAAGAAATTAATATAATGTATTATGTAAATAATATCTATATTATCATTAATACATACGTACCATTCATGCAATATTTCAATTTGTGTTATATATATATTTTGATACACTTTTTCCATTAGAATAGGATTCTTTTTTTTTTTTGATTATCGTGAGTGTTCAGTCTAATATTAGCATCTGCAGTGCATACATACATGTTTGTAATCATAATAATTTTAAGCGCATCTATTCGTTAGATTCCTGTATAATTTATGAGAATACATAAGGTTTAGAATGTTCGTATTATAATGTTTACGTCTTTTCCGATTATTCTACCTAGCAATTCAGCATGATAATTTAATGAATGCCAAATAAAGAAGTGTTACAGACGAAGAGTACCGGTACTGCCGGTAAAATTGAACCAAAAAGGTTGCATTTTAAAATTATTGATTCTATATTTAGTTAGTCTAAAAATACAGCCCTAATTGTGTAATGGTACTACGTAGTAAACATTGGTATCCTCGAATTTTTTTTTAAAAAAAAACATACGTACAAGCACGTAAATTCATATGCAAAATTTATACGTATATCTGTATATATATTATGGTCTTTTGAAGGTACTAACAATAGAATCGCGCAAAAAAAGCATGATTACCCTGTGACTTCACGTGTTGTGTTGTCAACAGTGAGATTTTTATCGATAATACTTATTATATTATTTAATAGATAATAAAAACATTAATGCCAAAGATAAAAACTACAAAATTATCCAAATATTAACAAATTCCTCATGCATAATATATATGATATTGATATAAATTTGTGGTAATAATGTCCTCGATAAATTTATGGCTTTCTTATATATTTGTAAACTTCGTTAGCAATTTTATCATCCTTCATTTGCATCAAATAAATACTTGGCACAGGTGAGCGTTCATTTGATACTGTAATCGCTACTTTACACTTTCCCGTTTTTTGAACTCCCGACTCAGAAACAATCGCGTCTACAAATCTTGATATTTTTGGTTTGTCTATGTCGATAATAATTCTTTTATTTCGTGATGGCGATTCTAAATTTAATGTCATATCCCCCCATCCAAAATTCTTCCAAACTCCATGATCTTTTTGTAAGAATACTTTACACTTTGCTTTAATTACTTCAGTAACATTATGCTCCACTTCTCTTAAATGTTCTTGAGACCGCATTGATGTTGTCCGTGGAAATCTTTGGGCAACTTTTAATTCATTATCTTGCGAAATTGTTGATGTTGTCCGTGGAAATCTTTGTGCAATTTTTAATTCATTATCTTGCGAAATTGTTGATGCTGTTCGTGGAAATCTTTCATACTGTGTAACATTTAACTCATTTTGCCCATAATTAGGGTGTGACATATGACTTCCTGCCGGAGGTTGCAGTCGATAATCTCCTGGTAGATTACCAGTGCTTAAACTTTTTTTAATGAGTGGTGTCTGTGGACTTGGTGGATTTTGAGGTATTGAGAGTCGTGTATTTGATAAATTTTGCTGACCATATATATTTAGCCCAGAGTTCGTTGGCGGTCGTGACTTAGCTGTTAACAAAAAAACCAATGTTAATGTTACTTCAAAAAAATTTGTCAAATATTATTCAGATTTACGAGTACTGACCAGCTTGAATAGTAAAGTTTATCATCCTGTTAAGTTCTCGTAACCACATTTCTTTTTGTTCACGATTCTCTGTCAAAATAACCAAATCCTTTTTTTGCGTAAAATTTAATCGAATCAATTCTATCAAATATACATATATATATTATGTATATAAATTTAATTATTCCTTTTCTTCACTTTGAAAAACAAAGCAACTAAAAATTCTATATAATTATCAAACAAACCTTCCTTTCCATCATAATTGTCATTTATAGATAAATGCCTTCCGCTAAATGGTGGATGCATTAAATTAAATTCCTTATTGGGGTTGATTTCTTTTTCTTCTGGACTTAATTGTTGACAGACTAACAAGAGATCTGTCAATAAAAATAAATGTGCTTTGACAAAATTATTAGGTGAACTATCTGATTCGTAATCTTCATTTACTATAGTAAAGTCAGCGTCAAGAATTAATTCACGATTAAATGGAAGACGCGGAGGGAGAAGATCAATTTTGATTTGCTAAAAAATTTTGTAATAAAAAATAGATATAAATATATTATTTTATAAAGAAAGTTTATTATGGATATTTATTATAGATATTTATTATGGATATTTATTATAGATATTTATTATAGATATTTAAAGATGGTTTACAATACCTTTGTTTTCAATGTGATAAAATCTATAGTTCTGGTTGTATCCAAGCAAAGTTCCAATTCTGACAACGTCCCAATTTTTTTTACGGGTGACCCTGGGGAACCAGGCTGGTCCATATCTACTTGAGAATTATCAGATGGTGCTGAAGGTTGATTAGTTGGTGAGGTTGGTAAGTCATTTGAATTTTGCGAACACCTGGCCCGCTTTGCTACTTCTATAAGTGAATCAATACGTTGAATTGCATTTGTAAAATTCATATTATCCGAACTTCCTGGCTCCGAGTTCCTAAGCTGACGCTACATATATATATATATAAGTTATAGAAAGTTTAAACAAATTGAAGATTTCAAGAAAATTTATTGATACTAACAGAATAAAATTTTTTATAATAGTGAATTCTCTTTAATGGTAATTCGAAAAAGGATTCCAAAGTTCTGAGTTGATTCTTTTCTGATGAAATATCCTAAAATAGTAATTAAAATAATATACATATATATATATTAGATATTTTTTTTTTTATAATAAAAAAATTTTTTTTAAAAAAAAAATTATAATAAAACAATAAATTACATTCAATGTTTGTTGCAAAGTTATATTTCCTTCAATCTCAGGTAATGACTCGATGCCCCGTATATAACCTTGGCAATAGGTTGTGTATGGTTTTTCCATTTTATCAATCTAACGAACAAATAAATATAACAATCATTTTGCGTGTTTATAGCGATAGTAAGTATTAAGTAATATTAATTACCCAATTCATTAATATGTCTACAAAACTTTGTGTTGATTGTGGATCTTGTTTAATTTTGTTAAGTTTCTAATATCGGATTATAAGTTTTTTTTTTAAAGTTAATATTAAAATTTATATAAACTTAAAAAATAAATAATTAAAAATACAAACATGAAACAATTCCCGATTTTCCTTAAAAACTTTATCAATTAAACAGAACATATTATCTAACTTCTTTGGAGGTGGATTTTCATTATTCCAACATGTAGTGACTCGCTATGAATAATGAAAAAAAAATATTTTTAATAATAGCATAATTAGGAATATATTAAATATGTATTATTACTAAACCTGTAATAAACTTTTCAAATCAGCCAAATATTCCTCTTCTGTCTCAATAAGGATGGTTAGAGGACTAGTATCCGATTTTACATATTGATTCGGTGACATCAGAGGAGATTTTGAAAATGTTGAACTTGGTGGCATTAAGGGAGACATTGAATATGATATCGAATTTGAAGGAGACAAAGTTGGAGACGTATAAGGAGATTTCGAAGATAGACTAGATGGCATATAAGGAGATTTTGGAGATAAATTTGAAGGCATATAAGGTGATTTTGGAGGCAAATTAGAATACATCGAAGGAGACGGAGGTACACCCGGTGGAGATCTTGGCGATATACTTGGCGCCATCAAAGGAGATTTTGGAGGCAAATTTGGAGGCATCAAAGGAGATTTAGGAGGCAAGTTTGGAGGCATCAAAGGAGATTTAGGAGGTGAATTTGGAGATGTTGGATATGAAGGTGAATTTGGAGGCATTAATGAATTTGGAAGAGAATTCGGAAGTGAAGGGATATTGGGAGACATTAGAGGAGATTGTTGAAAATTGTATAAAGACTAAGCCAACAGAAATAAGAAAATGTTAGTGACCAATTCTCTAGTTGAAATGGTTTAAAAAACATAACTTACGGGATCCATTCCAAGAAAATCTTTCAAAATCTTTTGAGCAGTATGTCTAATACAATTTACCAAGAGTAAAGGAAAGAAAATAGAGTTTAAAAAGAAATTTCTTATGTACGTTGCAAATATTAATTAAATTAGATTATAATTATTTGTTATAAATCGTACAACTTCTGATTCTAAATTAAGATATTCCACGTGCATTGTTATATTCCTTTGAATGGTTAGTTATAACAACGATAGCGAAAAGGGATTGCATCATAAACTTAACTAAAAATAGTAATTTTTTGTTTCAGTTTTAGATACATATCTTACTAAATATTAAAGCATTCATCTCTTTTGGTGCAAAAAAATCTAATTCTCCTAATTTAGGCTTTCACCAATTAAAATAAACGAGTTCGTATATCCAAATATACTAACATATAAAATTTCACATGATAAAATTGCTTTTACTCAGAATTATTGATTAATGAGTACAAACCAGTTATCAATTACTTTGAATCATGTAATTGTATTCTTGAGCAAAAATGAAAATTCCAAGATAAATCTCTCTTTAAATTAGAAATTACATGTTATATATTAATCAAAAAATTCTTTAATAATGTTACACATGGCTAATGATCCATTTACGCACATTCATACTTACGTACGTAGCCGTAAATTAAAAAGTGACTTGATGATCTGACTTTTCATAGCAAAGATTCGCAAAAATTGACCAACAAATATTATACTGGGATGAATTTTGTGTTATCATTATAATACAATATTCCTAAATTTGATATAATGTAAAAAAGGATTTATAAAACTTCCTAAAATACCTTTCGTCGAAATTTTATCGATATTATACACAGTACGTATAGTACGTATCAGTAATGTACGAACGTATGGGTAATTCTGATTCGATTAAACCATTTTTGGGGGTGAACAAAGGTAACTATGCATGCGTACTACATTATACTAGCACTACAATTATCGCTTCTATTCCGGCCTATCGCTATCGAAAAAGCAACTTCAAAAAGAGCTGCGGCATTAAGGTTTTAATGTTATTGTAAAGTACGGAAATGGACCCTTAAACGTTAAAGAAATTACTTTGTTTCGGCGTTGGGATAGTTTAATGGATAATTATACTCAATCAGTGATTTTATTTTTTTTATCGATATATTTTATTCTATTTTATTTTTATTTTTATTTTATTTTTATTTTTTTTTATTTTTTATTTTTTTTTTAAAAAAGTTATCTTACAGATCACGGGTATCTACAATCACAAGCTTGAGTACGCACGTACGTGTGACGCACATCAACCGGGCGTGTGACGTACATCAACTAGGCTGATGAAAAAGTATAAATACCCATAGCATTCGGTTATGCTTCAATTTCGGAAGTTTTGGTGTACGATAAAGGGGAAGAAAAAAAAACAATTGAACTTTTCGTTTTTACGGCGATATACTACTAAACATTGCTACGTATCAAAGATATTATTTCCATTATAACACTACATGTACATAGCGAGGGGGTTTTAGATACGTATTTACGTATATTTGGCGTTAATCAACAATGAACAAAAAACAAGAAAAAAAGAGAATCTTTAAAAATCAATATGAATTAAAAACCGATGAATTATTTCAAATTCGTCAAAAACTACAAATTGAAATTCGTCGACAAGGTCGAGAAAAACTTTTAACATCTCGCCGTAATTATCAAAGAGATCCAAGTCCATATAACAATGATTTTAAAAATGAATTCTATTCAAGTATATCAAGGGTTCCATGGTGTAGTAATATCAAAAAATTAGGAGGAATACGTACACCAAATACTTCATCAGCTACTGATTTTGGCGAAATAATTTCATACAATACCTCATCAATACCACAACAGCTTTATGAATTGATTGATGGGTTAAATTCAAATTGCATAGAAATACAATTAATCTCACTCTCAAAATTCAGAAAATTGTTGAGCAGAGTAAGTATAATTCCAATTCAAAAAATAATAGAGCTTTGTGTGATTCCCACATTTGTTCAATTTTTATCATCAAAAAACGTGGATCTAAGATGTGAAGCTGCGTGGATTTTATCAAATATTTCTTCCGGATCAACTGAACAAATTAAAGCCGTAATTGATGCTGGTGCACTTCCTGTTTTCAATGAATTACTCAGTGATGCTTCAGATATGAGGCTTCAAGATCATATTTTATGGGCGCTAGGTAACATCGCTATTGATAGTCCTCAGTTTCGACAGCTCGTTTTACGTGAAGGTAATCTTGGCGAATTATGCCAACATATTCTGGATGCTAATATTCAACCTTGTTCAGTATTACGTACGATGTCATGGACACTTTCATCCATTTACCGTGACCATATTACTGATTCAGATTGGCCACAGATTTCTTCAACATTTCCTGTTCTTGCCCAGCTTATTAACTTTAAAGATGACGAAATTTTATATAATGTTTGTTGGGCATTAAGTTACCTTGGCGACAATAATCATATAGAAGATGTGATTAATTTAGGTGTTTCGCCACATCTTGTAAATTTGATGGTACATGATAACATTGAGGTTCAGACTGTTGCCTTGCACTGTGTTCGGAACATTGTCTCCGGTAACGACTCACAGCGTCAAGTGATTATCGATTGTGGAATTCTTACGGTCTTGAAATCTTTATTGGTTAGCACAAAATCTTCAATCAGAAAGGATGCATGCTTTATTCTTTCTCACATTGCAGCTGGTAATATTGATCAAATTGAACATATTATTCATGTTGGTTTGATTTCATTGGCGATAAATCTCATGGCAAATTCTGATTTTCAAACACAAAAAGAGACTTGTTACGTTGTATATAATGCAATCAGAAGGTGCTACAACAGGCCAGAATTAACAATATGCATTGTGCGACAAGGATGTATTCAACCATTAGTCAATATGCTTAGTTATATGGACAATGAAATCATTTATGTAGTATTAAAAGCTATCGATGCTATTCTCCAGCTTGGAGAAACGCTTGCGGTGGAAAATAATTGTAAAAATCAATGTACTTGGTTAATTGAAGAAACAGGTGGAATAGAAAGAATAACCGAATTGCAAAATCACGAAAATGATGAAATTCGTTTAATTGCTTATAATGTTATTGATAAATATTTTGCAGAAGAGGATGAAGGGTATGAATCTGAACTTAATCAAAGTTTTGATTTAAGTAAACAAAACAGGTTTTTTAATAAGCAATTTAATTATCAAAGTAACCATAGTATCGATAGTATTGAAATAAATGGTGTCAAAATTTAATGAGTCCAAGCATTTGAAGTAATAAGAGAGAAATAAAAAATGTCCGTGATATTTACTGCGCTAATTAAAGACAACCAACTAATTACTCATCAGCTTGTTTATGCAAATATTAAACTTTATCAATTCATAGACTATTTTAGAAATTACTTTTAATTAAACCTTTTATTATATGTATTTACTGGTATTACGCTTTTTTTTTGTAAACATCCTTAAAGGTAAATAATAATATTTCTCGCATTTATGTAGTATTCATTTTATTCAACATAATTGCTAGTTAATTCATTATCCCCAATTTAAAAATGGTTATGTAGGTTTCCGAGAAACAACCTTCTAAAATATGAAAATGGTTTAACATGCCCGCCCACATGCAAATAATTAATCTGTAAAATTAATTCATTGTGTTAAAACTATATAAGAATAAATAAAAAAGAAATTAGTACAATGGATTATTCATATTATATATATAAATTGCTTTGATTTTATATACAGTCACACTCCCATATAATCACATCATCGGGCCCACCAAAAGGTGTTCTTATAGCTTATATAGGGAACTATTTTTATATATTTAACAGTGGTTGGTTCAAAATTAATGTGCTTATATAGGTGATGTGCTTAAGGAATTCATGTTCAATGATAATAATTAAATTAAATTACATTAGATAAACATCCACATTGTAACTATGAACAAGATTCATCCGCTCATAATCATCAGGATGTTTCCCTATCGCAGATTATCGAAAGTGAGCAAGAGAATAATGTAAATAGACGAATGTAACAATTATCTATATTAACTCGTATGTTGTAATCACTAGTAAAAATCTATTTAACACTGGCAATTTAATTATTGTCGAGAATAGCGTCATTAGACAAATGGTTCATTATCATTTTCGAATATTTATTCAAAACGCATAAAAGAATATCTTAATTTATCAAACTGATTACATTTTACTCCATAACGAACTAGTCGTTTTTATAGCAAAGGTCCATATAAGGCCATGCAAAATTAATTAATCAACTTTAATATCCTGACAGGGTCTATTGAGAAGACTCATGTAATGAAAACCAAGACATTAAATTTGTGTGACCTTATGTTTTTATTTTTTTTTCATTGTTTAAAACAAAGGCTAACTATAATAGGTCTGCTAAAAAGTTAATCATTCTTGCTTGCATTACTAATTAAAAATTAAAGACAAAAGTTAAAGCTAAATAGCTAGAGAACCCATTGGATCCCAAGCAGGCAAAATTTGTGGTTTTTGTTTCAAAACTTCAACTAATTCGTTAGGTGCGTCTTTCTTTTCCAAAACAATTTGATAAACCCAATCATCAAACCATCCATCTGCCATCACAAAATATCCTTTCTCTCCTCGTTCATCTCCCCAACTATTTTCAACCCGCCAACGAATAGGCCTGTCATCTTCAAGATGAACGCCTGTTTAAAGTAATAAATGATTAATATATATATTTAAAAAAAGACCTAGAAAAAAAAAAAAAAGTTACCAGTAAAAACCATAGCATGTGTCATTAAACTTTGTGCATATTCCAACCTTTGTGCTTTTGTCATACAAAATTTAATATTAAAACCTAATTCGTAATCAATGAGTCTATTATCCAGAATTCCTAATGAAGAATCGCTAGCCTTTCCAACATCAGCACCGAACCAAACTGGTTTTCCGGATCGTAAAGCTTGGATCGTTAGCTGTTTCATTGTTTCGATCGGAATGTTTACATAACGGATCGGTATGCCCCCTTGGATGTTACCAAGATATTCAACTGTATAAAGATTGAAGTATGGATGACGAGGATCGTTCACAAGAGAGAAAGTTTCTGTTGCCTATTTAATGGCGATTAAAATATATATATATAAAATTTTAGAATAATGGGTAACCTCGAGTATTTTTATTAAATAATCAATTTATACTTTATAGTTGACGATCTCCCCATAAAATTGTTTCGGAGTCAATCCAAAGAATTCATAATATTTTCCATCCTTGTCTCTAAAAGTCCAATCAAACACCTTTGGAGGTTCACCAAGAGAAATGGCTATAATGCGATAAATCTCTTCCATCATTTGAGCTTTTGCATGTCGTAATACCTCAATGCTTTTTTCAGAAGCGTGCATTTCCCTCAATTGATAAGCGAATTCACGAAGCTTGGTTGTAACAATCCAATTGAGTCTACCTGAATTTGATGAGTTATAACTTTCAGGGTATACCTATAATTTAAATATCATTTATATTGTCTGTGGTAAAATAATACTAAATACAAATCCTTCATATTTGTAGGTTTAAGATACTTACACATTTTGGAACCACACCGTATTTTTCCAGCAAATTGATTACCATATCCCATTGGCCACCATCACTAACCGGTGCACCAAACAAAAATTGAATTAAACGCGATTCAACATCTTCTTCTACAAGCGCGATCATGTTCTCGAGGAAAACTTTGAAAAAAGACATTAATATTTTTTTAAATAGGAAAATGGGATATAAAATGTGATAGCTTATGCTGAAATTTGAGGCCTCCATTAAAATATATAATATCTCTTTTTTTCAACAATTCTGACTCTATTCCTAACCTATCCCAAAAAAAAAGTCTATAAAAAAAGGCTCCCCGAAAATTTTAAACTTTATAATAAATTAGGTCAAAATTTCAGCATCAGCTTCAACAGCAATAAAATTACTTACAATTCGCTTTTTCAAGCTTGTCATAAAAGAACAAGAAAGACTGAGATAATTCGAAGTCTTCCAACTTGTACCTAATAAATTTTAATTAACTCATAACCTTAAATATCAGGTAATATTATAGAAGTTGAACCTACTTTTTCATAACTGGCAAACGTAACACATTGGTAGCGGCAAATAGCCAACAACGGCCAGAAGATTTTTGATTGGTTGCCTTCCCCTCCAATTGAATTTTCTCAGAAAAGACATGAATGTCTTTAATGGCGGCCTATTGTAAAGAAAATAAATAATTTAAAGCATAATCCTCTATCATTATGGAAATCATAAAATACATGAAAGACATTATACATCTCGATTCAATAAAACTTTATTCATATCATCATTGCAAATAGCATTCAAAGCCAATCTATTCTTTGGCTCAGAATTAAATTTATCCCTAGCAGTAATAAAAATAAAAGGAGATGCTTGAATTTCTCAAATGATTATGGTCAGTAATTCTAATAATAATTCTAATGATATTTACGAATATTTTTGGAGAGATTCTTCGTTCAAGTCAGCACCTCCCTCCAGTTCATGATTGTAAGTACTTATATAACTTTTCAATATATGTTCGTTTGTTTTAACAAGGTCATCAAATTTATTATGTTTCTCATCATTGGCTTTACTAGGCAGACGTCTTTTCTTAAAGCTACTAAGCCGTGATTTATTTTGACCCATAGCTGTATATTAAATACGTAACAATGAAAAAATGAAAAGTGAAGGGGAAAACTCAAAGAAAATGACAACGGATAAGATATTGAAATAGGGAATTCATTTTAAAACCTTAAATGTAAAATCGCTATAAAGAAGTAAATATTACTGTTACATCGTAACACAGATGTGCAAAATTTTCAATACCGTGATCTACTCATATGTTGGGATGATCATATATAACGATAAGTTTTTTATTTTGGGATCTGCGTTTCATATTAAATTATTATATATAAAAAAAATCGACTTACTTCGCCTTTAATTTCTCCCGTAATATTTAACATTTTTAAAATTTATAAAAGTAAAATGTTTAATGAAAAGTGTCTTTATAAAGTAGCAACATTAGAATTTTATCTCACTAATTGAAATATGTTACGCCTACCTGGGTGCCTACTATCACACAATTTACAAACGTAATGCAGGCTACATAGTAAATCGATGGCCGGGTTAATAACTTATGAACCAATAAACATGTACGTACAAATAAAATTATATTTGCCGAAACTCCCTTAACTTACTCCTTAAGTTTATAAGAAAACCCGGACACCAAATTACTATGTGATTGTAGTAAACCATATGATAGTGGATTAACCATTTTGCTTTTATAGAATTTGAAATGTTAAATATTGCGGGAGAAATTAAAGGCGAAGTCGATTTTTTTATAGGTAATAATTTAATATGGAACGCAAAATTTTAATATATATTCATCTGTAAATCCGGATTTGAAAATCGTGACTCAGAGCCAACTTGACCAATAAAAATGCAAGATTTTTATATTATCGACGTATCAAATGTGTGATCCGAAATACTTTGTTTCTTTTTACTACGTTCTTGTATTTATTAAATATATTAAAAGAAGTAAGCTAAGATACTTAAATTATCATCAATACAAAAATGCCGATTTATTTTAATTTATATTTACATGCTTTAAGAAGTTAAATAATTAAAGAATAATGATTTCAAGTTATATAGGCTAATTCAAAACGTTACAACAAATATGTATAAGTTAGTATTTGATAAGTTGGAGAAAAATGTACCAATTCTAATTGATTTAACACTTTTAAAGTTTGACATCAAATGTGTAATTTTTAGAAGAATGGACAAGTAAAAACAGAATTTACTAATTTTCCCCACCACTTATGATTGGTTCTACTAATTATTCACATATCAGAGTATCTGTGTTATTAATCAATTTTATAGTTTTCCGATAGTGAAGTGGTGGGGGAAATTAGGGCACCCGTAAAAACAAGAATGTTAATGTTTGTGTTAAAGAATTTCAACTTAGAATTACAGAGTATGAGGATTAATCATTAGATAATATATAAATAAGCAGTTATGAAAATATAAACAATTACTTAATAATAAGGTTAGAACTAGGATGATTCAAAAATTTCATTAAGATGTAAATTACTTTTATTTTATAAAATAATGAATAATTAATCAATTACTATTTTTTTTATATATGTACAATTATTCAGTAATTATATAATTTTTTGAAATTATTTATTTACAAAAAATAAAATATTTAAATAATTAATTTATTGTTAATATGATGTATAATTGTATTTAAAATATATTTTTTAAAATATTTTTTTTATTAAAATGTTTAATAAAATGGTCAATAAAAAAAATATTAATATTAAGTATTTGTAATATAAATATTTAATAGGTTTGGATTCTGTAGCTTAGTAGTTAAGCTTTTAGGTCTTTACAGACAAGGTTAACAGTTTTAAATAGACTAGAAACAAAACTGAAATTTGTTTCTGTAATCTTAAAAAACCAAATAATCAAATACAAAGCTTTGTAAACAAGTTCAAGTACATGTACAAATTTAAATAAAAAAATTCTTAAAAGAAGATCTAATTGTAAAGAATAAATATTATATATAATAGCAATATTACAAAAGGTCTTAACTATATAAGAATTATGCATATAAGTTTTTAAAACAAAAAGATAATACCAATATTACAAATTATTACTAAAATTGCTTTTTGAACTATTTAATAAATTAAATATTACAGGTTTAGGTTGCAGATTATATGTCTGAGTCTTTATTCTTCATATGTAATTTAATGCAAGCTTTTCATTGTAAAAACTTCAATTAAATTTTAATAAAGTTAAAGGCATAGCCTCACTGCTAATATTTAAAAAAAAAATTAAATATTATATTTTTTTCTCTTATATTATTAGTTATACTTAAATTTAGATAAGTTTTGATTACTCTTATAGATTTAGATTACAAATTATATATCTGAGTTTTATTCTTTATATCATAGGTTGAATGAATGAATAAAAGGTGAATAATAGGTAAATAATATAAAAAAAAACTGCCATTATTCTACTCTATATCTGTCAAATAATAGTAGCATAATAGCAACATAATAGCAGAATAATAGTAAAATAACAGAAAGTTTGTCAATATGAATAACATAATAGTAATATAATAGTAAAATAATAGAACAGTTTTATTATTTTACTTTTAATTACAAAGACTAAAAATAAAATAATAGAACTGTTCTATTATTTTACTATTATGTTACTATTACATTATTCATATTGATAAACCTTCTGTTATTTTACTATTATTTTGTTGTTATGCTGTTGTTATACTGCCATTATTTGGCAGATATAAGGTAGAATAATAACAGTTTTTTTCTGTTATTTACCTATTATTCATTCTTTATTCATTTGTTTAACCTGTATATATAATTTAAAAGCAAGTTTTTTTTATAAAAACTTCATTTAAATTTTAATATAATCTTATCTTTAATATTTAAAACAAACAAATATATATATATATATATATATATATATATATTTTTTTTATTTATTTATTTATATAATATCATAATAGAAACTTTAAAATACAATAAGAAATTTAATTACAGAAAAAAAAAATTCCTAAAATAAAGATTTTTAAATTACATTTGTGTTGCTAAAAAAATAGATACCCAATGTGACATTACACCTTCTATTTCCTAATAATTGCTATAAATAATTGTTTCAAATTATTTTCTAGTTAGGATAGGTTGAAGGAAACCTTGGGTGAGAATCAAGATATTATATAAAGCATGTAATTAGAGTAAAACCTTGTAAGAGCCATTTGTTAATTGCTACTGTAGTATTGGAAGTTTGTGTAGTTCTTGGGAGGTTGTTAATAGAAGAAGATATTATTGGAAAGTGAATTTTTGTACATTTAGTTTTAGTAGTTATGTTTTGAGCAAGTTCTCATTGATGTTGGGATATGTTGCATGTAAACCATAAGTCTTGATAGTACCAAGTGAGAAGATTGTTGGCTAAATTAATCAAAAGGATGTTTGTTTATTTGTTTAAAAGAACTTTGATATTATTGTAGGTAGTTATAGAGAAAGTGTCAGATATGGCATATAAGATAGATTAATAATTAGGATTAGTGTGATTGGCTGTGAAGTTTGAGATAATATTAAAAATGGAAGGTGCTAGACTGTTAGATATTTGAAATGAGGTGAGTGTTAATTGGATTGTATTAAGTATTGCTTGGTTTATATTAATATTATTGCCTACACAGAGAAAGAGATGAAGTGTGTTTTTGGGGTTTGTATATTGAGAACATGTTGTTGTATAGAGATAAGGATAGCGATATTAAGATTTTCCATAGTGGGCAGTTATTTGTAAGGATTTTAATACGAAAGAAGTATTTTTGAGTGTTGTGTTTCATGGATTTGATTATTTAAAAATTGAGAGCCCAATAGGTTCTGAGGTATTTTGGAAGTGTTTAAGTATAGACCAAGAAGAAAGTTCTTAAATTGTAATAGTATTTTTGATAAAGTTATGAATTTTGAAAGGTATAAGATAATTATTTTATAGAAAGTAAGTTTGAGTATTTGGCAGTAATAATTTGAGAATGGGTTTGGAAGTTCCTTATTTTGCTAGAGAGTCTGCTTGGTTATAAAATGAATTTAAATGTGATTTAATTTTTAAAAATTGTACATTAAGGTTTTTAAAAATTTTGAGATAATTGATAAAAGAAATAATATCCTAATTTTTAATATGTAATTGTTTTAAAGAGGAAATGTGTTGCAAGTTTTTAATTGCTGTTTGGTTGTCGAGGTGGATT